CCCAAGAGACATCGCACCGGTGAAAATAAATACATTGGTCTTTGTTTTTCTCGGAGAGAGAGAGAGAGAGAAAGAGAGGGGAGGGGGGTTATCGGGGGAAAGCGCCAAGCCATTACGGCTATATAGCACTTGGAGGGGGTCAGGATAAGGATTTGGGATGGGATGGTGGGGGGGGGGGAGGAATGGTGCCCAAGCACTTGAACGGTCGGGGATTGAACGACGACCTGCATGAAGCGAGACCGTCGCTCTACCGTCCAGCCCAAGTGGTTGGGCTATTTTTTCTCAGAGTTGATTTTTTTTTTTAAATTACCTGAGCTTTTATTAACACATTTAGATACATCTGCATTTCTGCAGCTGCCTTAGACTACATGAAGGGGAGTACAGTGTGTCAAAAAGCTAGCTACGTGATGCTAAAAGATCCCCATCACACAGGATGGTTAGTCATACAGAGGCATGTGATAAGCAGTCTGCACTGACAGACTCCAGAAGCATTTTAAGGATATCATCAGCACAAGAGTGAGTAAGGCAGCAGTGGTAATAAAAGTCCCCATCTCGCAGGATGGTTAGTCATACAGGGCCATATGTTTAGTAGCCTGCACTGGCAAATTTTGGGTGCACTGTGAGGATATCTTCAAGAATACGAGAGTGAATAAAGTAATTGCAAAGCTCCAGGTACCTCATGCCAACTGGTCTGAAAGGTCTAATAACTGGGCATTCAGTGATGTAGTGCGCGAGATCATGCCGCAGTTCCTGCTCACAGAGTTTGCACCTGGAGTGCTCAGGATTGGGAGACCCGTCACCTGCAGCCACCTGCCACAGGTAACCCAACCTGATCCTTGCAACCACTGTGTCGCACAGTCTGGTGGACGTTTTGTGCTGCCCATAGATATAGGTTTCAGATCTGAACAAATCATAACTTTTTATACTAGTACCTTCAGGTCGTTGGGAGTCAGTAATTTCTTTCCTATCGCGGCGAGAAAGTCTAGGGGAGTCACTAGCCGTGTTTCACTACCTGATGTTTCTCACAGGCCCGTTAACGTGTATGACTATACCCTGTCCTTCACTAGCAAGTTCACCTTAGTCGGCTGACTCTCATCCCTGCCTTTATATCCTCAACATCGTTTGTTTCTGACGTACACCGTTGTGCGTCTTCCTGACGTCCTCCGCTGTGGGTCTTCCTGACGTCCACCGCTGTGCGTCTTCCTGACGTCCACCGCTGTGCGTCTTCCTGACGTCCACCGCTGTGCGTCTTCCTGACGTCCACCGCTGTGCGTCTTCCTGACGTCCACCGCTGTGCGTCTTCCTGACGTCCACCGCTGTGCGTCTTCCTGACGTCCACCGCTGTGCGTCTTCCTGACGTCCACCGCTGTGCGTCTTCCTAACGTCCACCGCTGTGCGTCTTCCTGACGTCCACCGCTGTGCGTCTTCCTGACGTCCAGCACTGCGCGTCTCCGTACTGCGTTGTTCTGATAGCAATGTGTTCGGTGCAGCAATTCTCTCTCTCGCTAAATATCCTGTGTGGAGATCCTATGTTTTGGCTTGTGTTTGTTTCCTTTCAAAATAAACTCATTAAGGGTTGCGCGAAACACTAGGTATTACGGGGTTAGTATTGCGCACAACACACCTCGCTGTGTTGCCCCTCTCTTATGATGTCTCCTCTACACGCTGCTCCCGGCGTCACGGCTCTCGTAGTCTTCAGGTAAACTCCTCTACCTCTTCTTGCGTAATTAGTTATGTGTGTAATTACCTAAGTGTAGTTACAGGATGAGAGCTACGCTCGTGGTGTCCCGTCTTCCCAGTACTCTTTGTCATATAACGCTTTGTGTGTGTGTGTGTGTGTGTGTGTGTGTGTGTGTGTGTGTGTGTGTGTGGTGACCAGCATCCTGGTCACCTCTAGTCTCAGCATCACCACAAAAATAACGTCCCAGAGCTCTCTGCTCCAACGACATTTTTATTCTGTTAAAATATTATTATTATTATTATTTTGTAAACATATATATTTAATTGTCTGACCTTCACCTTATTTTCTTTTACATTGTAAGTAAATGAATTTTTCTTCAAGTTGTTTGTACTACTCGTGTATATATATGTATATATATATATATATATATATATATATATATATATATATATATATATATATATATATATATATATATATATATAATATTGACAGTACTTCCAAACAAGAACATTTGTGTTTATTTGTTGTACAATATGTAGAGGGGAAATATACCAGAGATGAGTTGAGAGAGAAGTGTGGGTGGGTGGCGGAGGCAGGTGGGTCGTGCAGGACTATGTAATTATCCTTCATTATAATACCAGGCGGTAGTTTAGCAACCTGCCTATTTATAGGGTACCTCGGGTCGATACCCACTTGGCCCAAACGACTATTCTAGCCCCTATTTACTGTGCACGAAATGGCGAATCTTGACTGAAAGAACTTCCAGCTTACACCATCTTATTACTCTGACCACTTGGGCTGGACGGTAGAGCGACGGTCTCGCTTCATGCTGGTCGGCGTTCAATCCCCCGACTGTCCCAAGTGGTTGGGCACCATTCCTTTCCCCCCGTCCCATCCCATATGCTTATCT